GGCTCACTGAAAATGCCACCTACATCTTTTCTGGGTTTATTGATTCTGAAGATAGTTCAGGGTGCATTATACCTGGCTCATGGCGTAATGTAGTGAGGGAAGACAACATTGGCTTAACCAACCATCCAAAGATAAACGGCAACAGATACACTTTTAAAGCAGAAAAGACACGTCAATCTTTCAAAGATTACTTCAACAGTGAAGCTGGCTCAATCCCTTGGCAGCTGAATTATGTGCGGAGCTGTGGCCTGGTTCATGGATCAAAATAAACTGAACACATCTGATACTCCATTATAACAGTTTATTAAGCAAAAAATGTTGCTTATTTTGCAGTATTTCAGCATAGACAAAGTACATTAATTTTATTGCAATAAAAAATATGCAAGGTGCCATAAATTCTCAAATAAACTTAAAGCTCCAATGCAACAAAAAACTGTTTTCAAAGATTTTCACTTAATTTTATACAATTGAGGCCACTGAAAACGAATCTGTTGTTACTTTTGGTAAAGGGGGTGGGCAAGGCACTTATATTTAGACAAAAAGTTGCCATTCTTCTCAAAAAGCGGTCGACACGGTCAGTTGACTCCTTTTCGACCTGTGACGTCAGAAGGTTTGCAAGCCTCCTGACATTCTAAATAATGGCGGAAAGTAAACAGTCAACACATACGAAGCCTTCTCGCAGAGGCGGCAAGTTTTGCGTTGCTGGCACTGCCAATGGTAGTAGTTGTCAAAATACTAGCTACTGCAAAGATGTGAAAATGCACTATTTCCCATCGAACGAGGAACTTCGATGAAAATGGGTAGCCTTCGTGAGAAGACATCGCCACAATTGGAAGCCAACTTCGACATCGATACTCTGCTCCGTACATTTTGAGCCTACATGCTATGAAAGGCGGCTGGACATCACTGGTATACCCAGTGAACTACAATTAAAGAAAAACAGATTGCTGAAAGACTCTGTGCCGACAATTGATGCAGTTGAACGCCAAATTCCGAAAGGGCCTACGGCAAGACAGCGAAGACAGGTGGGTTATCCTATAGTTTGATTTTTAAAATATGTTTTATTTTGAAAAGAGTTTAAGTAAAGCATATTCTTGCTGAATGGTGTGGCAGTCTGAATTATTATAGCGTTTGTTAAGAAATCGAGTCCTTTAATAGCTGATATGCTATTCAAAAATGTCCCCTTGAAGATCAAAGCATGTGTGCCTTTTGCAGATCAAGCGACAAGCGCTGTCATCATTGACAACAGTGGATTTTGAAGAGCCCACGGAGGTAGATCTGGGAAGCGAAATGCCCCCAATCAATGAAGATGCTGAGACTGGTATTGAGATGCAATCTCAACCAACTGAAAGTGATGTGGTAGAAGTACCCAAAACTGTGCATTGTGGCAACTGCAGCATTTTAAAGTTGAAGATAAGGAGATATCAGCAGAATATCTACAAGCTTAAAATTAAAAAGCAGCATCTAAAGGATCAAATCCAAACGGTAAGATATATGAAAATTGAAAATAATGGAAAGTTGCATATTTCTTTATAAGGTGCTACTTTTGTTTTTTATTCTTAGTTATTGTTAAGTTACACCAACTGTATGGATTTGTTTGCTTTATATGTAATTGTGATATCATTATGGTTTCTCATAAGTTGACAAGTCCTGATACTGATGATGAAAATATTCCAATCGACCAATCTACAAGTATCAGTTTACCTACAAGTGGCTTTTTTGAAGATGTTGTGATGGAAGATGAAAACATTGATTTGCCTGACGAGGTCCAAGAAGAATCTGATGGATCAGATGAAGAATGGAAGGAAAGTGAATGGGAGGAAATTGAAATTGGAGACCTATCAGATGCTGAGGATCAAGAGTGTCATCCAACATATGAATTTCCCCCTGAAAGGTAATGTATATTATACTCTTGAGTACTTTTCCTTGAAGGGATTTTTTATCAGACTGCGAGGAATTATTATCAATCCTAAATCAGTTTCTCATGCCAGAAATTTACAAAGGTCTTACAAAAAAGCTACCTTATCAACCTTATCACTAATCAAAGATTCTGTTTGGGCTGGTGATGGACGCTTTTATAGTATTGGCCATAGTGCCAAGTTTGGGACATATACAATGCTCTCTCCTACATTAATGAAAATAGTGCACTTTGAGCGGGTGCAGGTAAGTTTAGACCACACCCTACATCATTATTTTTCAAAGTGTACTTTTAGCTGCAATACAGTTGATGTAAGGTCACAGCCTATCAACAAACTGCTGATTGTCTAATGTTATCACAAAAGTGGGCTCATGTCAAAAGCAGTGGGAAACAAATACTGCTCAATCCTTGGATTATTTTCTTGAATTTCTTTAGTAATTAATAGATTATTGTTCTGTTTAATATATATTACTTTTTTGTTTATTCTCAGGCAAATGAGGCAGGGAGCAGTAATGCCATGGAATTGTTTGGAGCCAAGAAGTGTTTTACATTTTTATTATCGAAAGGGATCAGAATACCAATTTTCATCTCAGATAGGCATCGTGGCATAGCAAAGTGGATCAAAGAAAATCAGCCACTAACATCACATTTCTTTGATTTATGGCATGTTGCAAGGACAATTTGCAAGAAAGTATTGATGGCAAGCAAGGAGAAGGGCTGTGAGGTTCTTAGTTGTTGGGTCAAGAACATCAAGAAGCATTTGTACTGGTGTGCTAGTTCTACAAAGCTAGGCTTTGGTGCCCTTGTTGTGGCTAAGTGAGAATCCTTTTTGCAGCATGTTACTGGTTCTCATGAAGATCATCCAAATTCCCTCTTCAAAAACTGCCTTCATGGTGAAATTAAGCCTTGCAAATGGGTGAAAATAGGTATTTCTGACTATGCTATAGAAGGCTATAATTCCTTATCAGGAGTAAGTGCAAGAAGGCACTACCTCGAATACTTTGCCCAATCAATGCTGTTTGTTGGATTTAAAACCAAGTGTGTCTTGAGATTGCTTAGAATTGCAAGATACTGTTTAATATTTTATTCTTACCTTTCCTTTGTTTGGAAAGGACACATGACAGATTCTCTGACAGAGTCTGGCTTTGAACATTTCCTATAAAAATTGCAAGTAAGCAAGTTTGTTTAATCAAAGCAGACAATTGTATGCTGTTGCTGATCACTTCAGGCTTAATACCTTACCAAAGCAAGAGATACTGGAATTAAATTTGATGAATCCATAGTAAACACTGCCAAGTGCTGAAGCAATAAAATGATAATGTTGCACTGTAAATTATATTGATATTATAGGGTCTCCAGCCTATGACAAGCTGCTGTCAATCTGCCAGAAAAAAAGAATTCTTGAAGATATTTCAAAACTATCCCCAGATGCCCAGACAAGTTCACTAGAAGCATTTCATGCCCTTCCAAATCACTAGCACCCAAAGATGATTTGTTTCTCTTGGAGACGAACAATGTGCCGGTACATATAGTGCAGTGCAAACATTTGTAATAACTTTGATGACAAAAAACAGACGAAAATCAAAACCTTCACAGATGTCATACTTTGTCTTATTATCCCTTGGTGTAGTGATCTGAACTTGTAAAAAACTCGACCATTTATAAAATGCATGTTAAAAACAGTTTTTATATCTTTTAGGCATATCCTAGCCTCTCTCCATTTTAATGAGTATGTGAAGCGTGATTCGAGAAAATGAAAAGATGGCAAAACATACTACTATGTTAAGTACCCAAAATTCAAGCTGGGAGAAGAAACTGTTAGAGAAATTACCATGAAGCCTACTTACAGTGAGCAGTATTTATATGTTTTTCATAATATATGATCAAAAGCTACACATATCTCACACACAAACTATCCAGTTTGTGTATGATTTGCATTAAAGGAATAGAAAAGTGGTGTTTGTGACACCATGCACACTGGGTCACATGATATGCCAACAATGGTCGAACACTTGACGCTAATTTCATGACATTTAAAGCGGAATTCAAACAGACAATAATGATTTCTTTCTGCATTATGTCAAAAAACGGTTTTGTGTGTCAGTTTACCTTTATAAGCTTCTTCAGAACAACTGTTCCATACAATCAGAGCATATAATAAGCATACAGAGCATTAGTTGTCCGATGATTGCATTAAGCATGAAATGTCAGAGTAGCAACCTAGAACTATGCTAATCAATGTCTGGCAAATTTTCTAGAACATGTCAAAGAAATGTCAGAGTTGCTGTTCACTATGGAACCCCAAGAGCTTAAGGTTACGGTAAACGTTTTGAACACGAAAATTGGTTTTTCCTTCCTAAAGGCCAAACGGCTCAAGGAATCTGGATAAACTATATATCATTCGATGCATAAGATTATAGCTTCTAGCCAGATAAAAATTATTGGCAAATAATGTTAAATGTTATTTTCCATGCGAATTTACTGGTCAAAAAGTGTACCACCTTCATAAGCTTTTATGTACCCTTGCGTTTGAGGTAACAAAATCTGACTTAGACCAGCAGGAAGTGCCGGTCCTAAGCTACCAAAGCGTGTCTCAGATTTTTTAAATTCCTCCTCTTCTTTAAACTATACCCTGTCAAAAATTGGCAAATAAATTACAAACAATCTATTTCTAGCTAAGTGGTAATATTGAAAAGAAAGGAGACAATGGTACTAGTAAAAACAAGATATTATTTATTCAAATATAATGATACAATTTAATTATTAACAGCAATGAGAGTGTTTCATTCTCTTTCTTCAGTTGTAGCATATCCTTTTGAAGCTGGACTTGGAAATCTACTTCTTATGTTGTTATATATACAAGCAGGCAGTGGTCGTGTTTTGTTCCACCTAAATAACCAAAGATCCACCATATGAGCCACCTGTAACTCACTGCTCTTATAAACCTGTACAAAGGAATGATTGAGTGGCTTTTAGATCTTACTATTTTGCTTCATGAAACCTATATAAGAAACATTCAGTGCAATAATGATTTTAGTATATTTGTAAATACTTATATCGAAAGTCTTTGTCAATTCTCATTAAAGCATCTATGTTATCTTGGAATTTATTTGGATTCATGGATTTAATTTGTTTAGTTGATCAAAATTTGCTGAAGGTTGTCTTTTTAAAATATTTCCTGACAATTTCCCACTGGGAATTCTCTATTGGTAAGTGAGGGGTGGGGATAACACAATTGGGTTCCGGCAACAAAATGTGTCTGGTGTACATTCCCTTGCCCAAGTGGAGTGGTCTATTTTGAAGCTGTTTTTGAGAGAACTTGGCAAGGTATGACTTAACAAAGTTTTATTTTTGAATCTTTCATAAATATGCTGAGAACGATCCCATTTTTCTTACTAAAAGGGAGTTAATCTAGGGCTCAATTTTTAGGAAAGTATACCTTAAAAATCAACTAAAACTTGAATTTTACTCTTATTTTTCTGCCAGAAAAAATTGTTATTTTTTCCAACAGCAAGGAAAATATTGAAATGTCAATATACTCGTTTTCAGTTTGATTTCCTCTTCTTCGGTATGGTCTACCAATTCTATCTTTCAAAAGTGGTGCAACCATCTTTAAATTTGTCTGGTTTGTGATAGCACTGTAAGCAGGGTGGTTAGTGACACATTTTATTTCATTTATGGTGCCATCAGAAGTCAGTTTTCCGACTGCCTCTGCAATGTCCCAGCAGCAGCGAAACTCTCTTGCACCAATTAAAAGATCCACTTTGCACTCATTACAGCTACACCTGCAACAGGTTTTAAAAACTTTCAAATACAATTTCTGTAGACTGAAATGCTTACTTTATCAGGGAGTAACCTGTTCTTACTTAGAAAACACTTCACAGTGTAAGGCTGAGAAAATATAAGGAGAACAAAGGTATTTGCCACTACATAGAAAGATACAACACATGCAGGACAGCAACTGCCCTTCTCCTAATAATAAAGGTCGTAAAGTGCAAATTTTCAATATATTCTGTGTATTTAGAGAGATAATTATGCAAAAATTTATGATTTTACTGTAAATAAAGCACCCAGCTAAGGTAATCCGCACAAAAAGAAATTCTTGAGTATTTTACCGCAGACCCCCTTTTTGCCCCCCCCCCCTAAAATAATTACTCCTCTCGTAACAACACGGTTTTGAAAGGTTTAACCTCAAATTTAACACATTCATCTCAGTTTGCTTAGGCCCACTGTTGTAAACTTGCATTACCAACTGTTTCGTTTCTAACGCCAGATTTAGGCCGAGGCCTAAATTACTGTGTGGCAAATTATATTTAGTATACAATTGCTTACCCATGAATCAACAGCTTCGGTTCGCCGGAATCTTTTCTCTAACGTTGTGTAGAGGATTCCATCTTCGTCTGCTTCAATATTTTCGTCACTAGCATCATCATCTGAGGAGGAAGCTAATGGCTCCCCATCATATGGATCGACTATCGGTAATATTTCCCCAATATCCTCTCTATCTGATGATTCATGACTTGAATCAGATGCCGATGTGTCTTGTTCACTTGCTGACATCTTTTTTGACTATGTCCCTCAAAGTTTCGCGAATTTATTCTTTTCGCACTTTGACAACTTGATCAACCCCGTACAACCGTACAACCACAATGTATAGTGACTGTTGTTGTTCTGAACTGCAAACCTTTCAACGTCACTAGTGCCCAGAGCCCTAAAAGCCTAGGTCGCCAAGAGCTGCCGACATTGCAAGGCTAAATGCCGATAATGCAGACGGAAGATCGCAAAACAAACTATACCATGTGATAGAGCAAGGTTTAAACCTTAGGTTTTGCACAAAAAAATATTATCAAAAATTTCGTTGCATTGGAGCTTTAAGAAAAATGTTTGTATAAAATAATAGTAAAATAAATTGGAACTTCAATGAATCACATAGTCAATTATCTTCCTCCAGGATAGCATCAAAATAATCAATATCGGTATCCCCAAGGCTTGTTTTGAAAAGGGGGCTTAAGAGGGAGAGGAGCTTAATAGAGCTTTTACTGTAGTTAAAAATTTTGACTAAGTGTTTCTCTTAATTATGTTTGTAAGTTCACACACAAAAAATGTTATTTGATTTGTCTCTGGACCAATGCTTATTGACGATAATGTTGGCCAGCATAATTGCAAGCTCCTGTTGCCAATCCAAGTTCAGTGTAAGTTTCTTGTTCAGAATTTGGTGTGCTTGATGCACTTCTGTTCTGCTGCAGAAAACTTCCATACTTGAAATTGCTTGTTGGTGGAGAATATGTGTTTGTTTGACATGTGTTCCCTGCAGATGATGCAAACTGGTTTTGTTGAAATTGATGACCAAATGTACTGGGGCCTACCCTTGGCACTTGAGCACCAAATTCTGCTTGGTAAAATATTTGCTCTATTTGGCATCTTACAAAAGCTTTCATTTATGGAGGGAGTCTCTGCATCCTTTGCACCAAGCTTCGACAGAATAGGCTGTTTTCATCTTCAGGCACATCTTTTGCATTCTGAAAGCCAGGTGAAAACTTGTTGCTGGCCTTCGCTACTGACTTTGCTGTTTCGATAAGTGCAATGTCAACATCCTGTTTGGAAGGCCTTTTTTTGGACCCTCCCCATGACCTTGTGTTAATCTTTCTTAAATCTGTTCCTTTAACTGCTACAGCTTTCTTTGCATTGCTTTTTGGCTGCTGGCTTTGTGCTAAAGTATTGTCACCGTCTTTAATCTATGGATTTTTCCAATGGCTCACTGGATTTTCCTGACTTTCATCTCCTGAATCAACAACCTCACCGTCACCAATGACATTGGAACTTGATGTCATTTCCGCCATGACTTCATCTTCTTCCAGGCCTGTGATAACATCATCAGTACCTGCGCTTTCTACGTCTTGATCTGCATCGACTGCCAAATTGATAATGGTCTTGCGATGCGTTATTGTGGAAGATAGCCAGTCTAAGTTTACGTCAAACTTTGGAACTGCACTGCGATCAGATCCTGAAGGGATTCATCTAATTTTCCTCAACTGCCTACCATATGCAGTTCGAATGTTCCTAAATTTCTTCTCGGCTTCTTCGGGTGAAACGCCAAACTTTTCCTCGATTTTAATCCAGCAGTTATATTTTTTGAATTTATTTTTAAAGTCCTTATTAAATTTATTAAACAGGCAATCGTAGCGGTGAACTTCATCGAGAAATAAAATGTTCTCTTCGTTAAAAAGCGCCATTTTTGTGCGTCTGGAAGTGAGATTAATCACAGAAACGAGGATAATCTGTTCGCAAGGAGTTGCAAAATTTGTGAACAGTGGTTTACATTAATAGCAGGGAGTTGCAAAAAGTCGCTATAAATTGCAGAGATAGAAAATTTTCATCATTGATCATCTTTGGGTGCAGTTTGGTTTAGCATGGTAGTCATTAACTTTGTGGATCAAATGTAACCAGTTCATTCTTGCATTAGTTTCAAAAGTTGTCAGAAATTTTTAAACTTATTGTCAAGAATTTCTGAGACATTTTTTATTTCTGTTATGGGTGAATTGCAGTTATGGCTTTATGATTTGCTAAAATTTCCTCCACAGTTTTTTAAATCCATCAAAAGCTTTAACTTTGTTGTGGGAATGTTACTTTCCTTTACAGTTGGCAGCCCATCTGTTCCATCATTAAAATTGCATCAGAATAGAATTTAAGCATAAATGTCAGCACAATTGTCAATGCAGACCAACAGCATCAACCTGCAACCTGTTCATATTCAGTCATATGACACAATGAGAGAAATGCTGATGTTTTGCTTTATTGCGGGTCAAGGATCCATTTTTCATTTTCTTTTGCCTACCCATAAATTTTTGTTTTGCTGCTGTTTTGCAGTTTCATACTATCAAAATACATACTGTGCAGATTCCATCTTTGTAACACAAGATATATGTCTGATACTGTCTTTTTTCAAGGTCTGTTTATTTGTTCAAAAAACTTTGGAACATTTGTAGAGTCTGCATATAATTATCTATACTAGGCCTGTCCACCGAAGGTCGAATAATCAGTATTTGGTTACCTGTTTCACTATTCGGTTAGCTGAAGTCCAAAGCGAATATTCGGTTACAAGCGAATAGTTCGTATAGTACGATTATTCAGTTACAAACGAATAGTGCGATTATTCGGTTGGAGACGAATAGTGCGAATAACCTCACTGTTGGAGGTCCACAATGGTTGTTTGAATAGCCGTGACTCATCGAAAAGCGTTGACTATTCGAATAACCGTGACTATTCGAATAACTGTGACTATTCGAATAACCGTGACTATTCAAATAACTGTGACTGATCGAATAGCTGTGACTGATCGAATAACTGTGACTGATTGAATAGCAATTGCCAACCGAATAGCAGTGACTGGTCAAATAGCAAGGATTGTTCTAAAGAAGAAAGGCTACTTCCTATCTTCAATCTTAGAGAGAGTTTCATGGAAACGGGCCTTCTTTAAAAATCGCAATCCCAAGAAATAGTTACAAATCCAATAAAGCAAGATTGGAAGGGGGTAGGGGGAGTGAAGCGTGGGTTCCGGGTAGGGGTCATGGGGCTTTTCCTTGGAAAATTTTTGGCCGCTACAGGGCCTCTGACGAAGGGGAGACCAGGGGGCTATGGCCCTACCACTATTTTGCAGAATAATATAACTTTTCACAAAATCATTTGTTGTGAGTGTTAAATTTTCTTTTGGTTCTGACTTATCGAATAGTAATGACTGATTAGCTATATCCACAGCTTAGCTAAATTACAATAAATTTTCAGATTGCAGTTTTTTACCACCACCCTGCCACACCCATTTTACCACACCTATATTCGCTGAATAACCGAATATTGGTTACATTTTAAGCCGAATAACCTAATAGGAATATCCGAAGGTTTGGACAGCCCTAATCTATACCATAATTATTGTCTTCTTTGAGTGGGTCTATTGTTGACAGCAAAAAGTCCCATTGCTCATCTGATAATGTAACTGCAACCTGGGGTACCTCAACATAATTATTTGTTTGTAGCTCACAGAAAGGCCCTTCACCATCAATTCCATATGAATCCAGGGCATTATCGACCCCATTTACCAAATCATGCACAGCAGTATTCTCAGATGCAGAAAATAGATAAAGCCTGGTCTCCATACAACCTTTTTGTGTAAGCAATGCATCGACGACAGGTCGCTGGCGACTGAAAGTTTAATTGCGCATGCTCCTATAAGGTTGTTGCCGACGTGTCGGCGATGCCCTGCAACAGTTGAATCAAGTTCAACTCTTTTCTCTCGGCAACATCAGCCATGGCTGAAAATTGTAATTGAAACATGCATCACTGAAACATCAGCGACACTGTCATTTCATTTCATTTTATATTCTTTATACACAAAAATCCCTTTAGCTTACAACTAAATACCAAATAAGAAAATAAATACCGTTTGTTTTTATAGGTATAGAAGGTAAAAACTGAGGAACCAATGTGTGAATAAAATCGTAAAATCCAAAATGGGAAAATGAGAAAAAAGGAGATAAGGAGTAGTCACTACCATCTGGTTACAGCCTCAAACCCAGATGGGGGGTGGTTCTGTGTGCCTCTTGTGTGTTTAGGCAATTAGCTTGAAATTGGGCAGAAAACGATAAAAAAAGCAACTAATCAGCCAGAAACCCACGAGGGACATTTCGGGTCTTTAATTCGGTATGTCTGTTTCTCATGGGCGCCCCCCGCAATCCTGCGTCCAGAATCACAGTTGCAAAATAAATATATACGCAATAAGAATGGAAATTTAATAATCAGTGGATGCAGTGCATTAGGTGTAACTGTGCCTCTAGTGTAATATTTACATATTGTAAAAGTTAAGGGCGCATGATGCTTCGAGAAGCGGCTTTGTGTTGATGGCGTACTTTAGAGTGTACCAATCGATCTTTGAGGTTAGGCCTTCTGCTGAGGGCTAGAACCGGTCTGGTATCATTCCATATTTGTTTAAGATAAGCATCAGCTGAGATCAAGTGCCAATGTTTAGTAAGGACGGAACCTATATTTATAGTTTTTATTTCGAATGGGACAACAAAAGGTAGGACTTGTGGTTTTGGTGGAGGGGGCTCGAAGTTGAGGTGCTGAAGGGTGGTTTCCTTGTTGGCGGGGTTTCCTGGGAAGAGGAGCTCGTATTGGGTGACATATGTCAGTTTACTAAATTCGGTGGTGATATCCTGAGATTCATAACCTCTTATGATTAGGTTGTTGTGCTTCAAATTTAATCTTGTTGTCCACATTGTTGGTATTAGCAAGGAGTTCAGTGAGTGAAGCTTCATCATATTGCCATATCATGAATATATCATCGATAAATCGTCTCCAGAGTAGAGGCTTCTTCCCCTCGGGGGCTGTGGAGAGGATATTTTGTTGAATAACAGACATAAAAATGTTTGCTTTGCAAAGTTTGGGGCAAAAGGGGTACCCATGGCAGTGCCTTGTGTCTGTAGATATGGCTGTCAATTAAAGGAGATATAATTTCCTTTTAATATAAACTCAAACATTTGTTGTAGGTGTGTGGCTGGTAGAGGTAGTCCAGTGGCATAAAAATCAATTAACGCCATCATGCAGTGTAGAAT